GAGAACAAACCTGTTTTTCTGTATTTCTGTCCACACCACCTCAAAAAACAAAACCCCCTGGACTTTTCCCATCAGGAACAAGCCAAGCAGCTCCGGAAGAGGAAYTGGGAAGCTCTGAAGAACATTCTGGACAACATGGCCAATGTCACCTACTGCACCACATGGTCTGAGGCACAGCAGTACCTCATGGACAACCCCACCTTTGCTGAGGATGAGGAGCTCCAGAGTATGGCCAGGGGTTCTTGGGTTCTTTTGGGAAGGAGGATTCTTCCTAAGCAGGAAAAATAACTGGATTTTCCTTCTTTTCTTGTTAGATATGGATAAGGAGGATGCACTGATCTGTTTTGAGGAGCACATCAGGGCCTTGGAAAAGGAGGAGGAGGAAGAGAAGCAGAAAAGTTTGCTGAGGGAAAGGAGGAGGCAGCGGAAAAACAGGGAATCTTTCCAGGTTGGTGGAATTTGGGGTTCTGTCCTGAATATGCCATGGAATATTATATTATTATATTCCATGTGGGKTTTTTTATTGCTGAGTGTTGTTTAAAGGGAGTGTTTAAAGCCTCAGGTGCTGGGTTGTAACATTTCCTCTGCTGTGTTGTGCCAGAAAGCTGGAAAAATAGAGAAAAGCCAGAGGGAATAGGTCTGGATGGGAAGGAAATGCAGCTGCAATATTGTAAATCACAGAGAAAAGCAGCAAGAAACAATATTAAAATCGATTTTTCAATTCTATTGGAACAAAGATGGAATTCCAGTTCTCCAAGCTGTCCATCCCAGCTGGTACTAAGCAGAGCTGTGAGGAATGGCTCCAAATTCCCATTCTCCTTGTGTTTTCCAGCTGTTTTTGGATGAGCTGCACGAGCACGGCCAGTTACATTCCATGTCCTCCTGGATGGAATTGTATCCAGCCATCAGCTCCGACATCAGGTTCACCAGCATGCTCGGCCAGCCTGGTAAGGAGGRGAAAAACTGGGTCCCTGTTGGCCAGACACAAAATAACAGATACAAACACACATMWACACACACAAAAARTAACTCTTTTATTTTGGGACAGGCCTCTTTTATCCACTTTAGCAACCAGTGCATACATTTGTGTCACACATACATTGGTCAGTGAGGCTGTCACCTTTTACTCATCAGCATAGGATTGGTAGGTGTGCAAAAGCTACAGTATTAGTAATGTTTATAATTGTAAGCCACCTGCATTATCAATTCTACATTCCAATCTCTTTTTCTTAACGCAGCCAAACACGTGGCTTTTTCTCTCATGCAAACTGTTAACACTCCTGCTACAGGGCAGGACACAGCAGTTTTCTCCTTTATTTTTCCTTTTTTTTTTTCCCTTTTTCCCCCTCTCCTTTTTCTATTTTGTTTCCTTTTTCCCTTCCCTTCCCTTCCCTTCCCTTCCCTTCCCTTCCCTTCCCTTCCCTTCCCTTCCCTTCCCATTTTTTCCCCCATTGCTTTTCCTGGTTTTTAATACCTGCAAATGCAGCTCTTTGGTTAAACCTAATCTGGGGCTTAACTAAACCCTCTCCCTCAGGATCAACTGCACTCGACCTGTTCAAGTTCTACGTGGAGGATTTGAAAGCTCGTTACCATGAYGAGAAAAAGATCATTAAAGACATCTTAAAGGTGAGGATTCCCTGGATCCATCTTTTCATTCCACATTTTGGAGCTGGGATTTCCTTTCTTGAGGGAATTCCTGATTTTCCTCACATCAAATAAGTGATTTTTTTCCAGGATAAAGGGTTTGTGGTGGAAGTGAACACTTCCTTCGAGGATTTTGTCACTGTCATCAGCTCCACCAAGAGAGCCACCACTCTGGATGCAGGGAATATCAAGCTGGCTTTCAACAGTGTAAGTATTAATTAATAAATTAATTAATTATCATCCATTAATTGGGATAGCTGGATAATTRGGATGGGAATTCCCTTCTCCAAACAGGCATTAGGGTTTATTTTCTAACTACTCCCATAATATTTGAGGAATATTTTAGTCATTTAAAACTTAAAGTTATTTGAAGTTACTATTTAAATATAATATTTATATTTATATAAATATAATATTTAAAGTTATATAAAGTTACTTATTTAACTGATTCCAGTTGCCAAAATAAAGCGGGGAGAGATAAAACTTAATCTGAACCATCAACATTCCCAAACTGAGAAATTCTGGGATAAGAATTAATACAAATAGAGAACATCACTTAAAGATTTCTCCTGATTTGTGTGTTTCTGTTATTTTGTTTCTGTTATATTTGGATTTTTAGGAACAGCAATTCGTGCTTGGAAAAGAAATAATTGAGTAATTTAAAATAAAAAAATAAAATATTAATTTTTTATTTAATAATTAATTTTTCTGCACTTAGTCACTTGGAAATGACAAGTAAATGAGACACAATTCTGTCCAGAAATGCCAATAAATGGAATTTTTTGCTTTGCATTTTGTCACGTTTGTTCCTTTGTCTCCCTGCAGCTCCTGGAGAAGGCGGAGGCGCGGGAACGGGAGAGGGAGAAGGAGGAAGCCAGGAAGATGAAGAGGAAGGAATCAGCCTTCAAGAGCATGCTGAAACAAGCCACACCCCCCATCGAGCTGGATGCAGTCTGGGAGGATGTAAGGATTTGGGAATTCCTTGGGAAAAAAATCCCCAAATTCCCAAATAGGCCCCCGCTAATCCCTTAAAAACCCCGTGTTCTCCAAGCTCTTCTTGGTCATGCTTGTGGGATTTGAAAAATCTCATCAAATCTTGTGGTTTCGTCAGGAAAATTTAGAATTTAGTTGGAAAAGCCTCATCATGGTACCTTTGAAATGAAAAAATCCTAAAACAAATGGAGGAATCCCAAAAATAATACCTCCAAAAAATCCCAAAACCCCCTCTCAAGTTAATTTAAATTATTTAAAATATAAATTTTGTCTTGAATAAAATAAGCTGGAAATCCTCTCCTCTCCACGGATAATTTATAGAATTTACGTTTTTTTTAAGCTTAAGTGGAATGTGCAGGAAAGACAGTGGAGTTCTCCATGTCTCCATGTTAGAGTTTCACTGAACTCTGGAAATTTGGAATTTGTTTTGAAATCTGGGACTAAAAGTTTAGCCTTGTACCAGTTCAGGGGCTTTTTCAACTGGTAAAAAGAAATCTAATTTTATTACCTTTTTAGTATTTAGTTTTATTTTTTATTTTTCTTATTTCTTATTTTTATTTTTCCTTATTTTTATTTCTTACTGGTTTAATTATTTCTTTTTTCCCCCTATAATTAATTTTATTATTGTTTCTATTATTTCTTACTGTTTCTATTTTTCTTATTTTTATTGATTTCCTATTATTTTATTAATTATTATTACTAATGCGTCTTAGTTTTCTCTTTTTTGTTATTTTTATAATTTCTTTATTTTTCCTTACTGGTATTATTATTTCTCATTGGTGTTATTATTGTTATTGCCATTATTATCACTGTATTACATTTTGTTATTTTATTCCATTTATTCTATTCTAGTATTTTAATAATTCAATCATTTATTCATTTAATTATTTTTAATATTATTTATGTCATTAATTTTCCTGACAGATCAGAGACAGATTTGTGAAGGAACCAGCATTTGAGGATATCACCCTGGAATCTGAAAGGAAAAGGATATTTAAGGATTTCCTACATGTACTTGAGGTAATTATCCCTTTATTTTTAAAATCATAGGAAAATTTTTAAAAATTCCTTTTCCTCTTAAATTGGGTTGAAAGGGGAAGGATTTCATGGAATTTTTCTTCCATAAAGTGATAACAGGAGATTAATTTGATTTTTTGCAAGTCCGACTTTTGGGGGTTTTGTTTCATTTTTAACTCCATTTTAACTTAAAATTTGAATGGATTTTATAATTTCASATTAGGCAGAGCAAGGAGTGGATTTAGGCCAGGCTTAACTTGGATCCAGGGAACAGATCYATGGAATCCATGTGTTTGTCCTTGCTCCTGGCTGCTTTTATTGCAGCTCCA